CCCCCCCCCAATTTTTTTTTTTTATAATTTTCAAATTTCTGTGTTTTCGTTTTTCTGCACACCCCACCCCCTCCCCGAAAAAAATATTATTTTTTATTTATTTTCAGTTCTAATTTTCTCATCTTTCGGTTTACAGGTTCGAAATTTTACAAGTTCCAAAGTTATGAGTTCCGAAGTCTATGTGTTTGGAAGTTTACGGGTTCGAAAGTTTAGCGGTTCGAAAGCTTATGAAATTTGTGGGTTCGGAAGGTTGTTGGTTCGAAAGTTTATGCTTTCATGTTTATCGTTTCTTAATTATTTATGAATACTCTTGAGAAGTTATTTTCCTGAATTTGCCTACCAAACACCGGAAAATGAATAAGATTATTCTTGGAAAACATTTTCCTTTATACCAAACACACCCATTAGTATACTTTTGTAGGACACCTTAATGTGATAGTGAAAAAAGAGAATTACATTAATGCACATTAATTTGTTAAACTCCGTTGATAACATTATAACGAAGAAGCGATGGTGTTTTTTGGTATCAGATCTCATCAGTAGCGGTATCGTTACATCCCATTTTATCCTACGAGCTGGGTTCACATTTATAATAGGTTAAACATGAAGAATTAACCAGGAGGATAATACTCTCATGAACTGAAAACCATCAAATCAGAATTACAATCCTTAGGTGAACATAATACTAAATGAAATTCACTTGAGTGGTCTCCCTCTACATTTCAAAAAAGGAGAACCACATGCACAAGTTCTTTAGCAAATATGAAAATGAAAAATGACAAAATTCAGATGGATCAAAGCCAATTCCTCATTTGTTCGCACCCACTGAATCTTTCATGGCATCAGCAGCTCCCTGTGCCTTAGCCTTCATCTGTTGTCCAGTCTGCCATCAATTTAATGACGAAAATTTTGAATTACTTTAAAAGGAACTTAATGTAAAATTTGGAATATAATATACTCCATCGGCAGTATGCAATATCTAAAGATAATGTTAACCAAATAAAAGTTGCAAAGCAAAATTAACCTCCTGCATGGATTCCTTAGCAGATTGAGCAGTATCTCTAGCTTTGTCCATCATCTGGCTAGTCTTCTCCTGAATTAATATTCAACACGACATACATAATTAGAGGCGGATTTAGAACGGATTCAATATTAGATTTATCAATTGAACAAAATGCTTTTCACTTGATCAATAAGTATATATGACGAAAATATTAGGTATAGAGGCGGATTCAGAATTAAATTTTATATGTTAAACCTTTAAGACTCTTGGCATTGAACCCATTATATTTTTAAACTTATGGGTTCACACCTACTATTTGTTGCGATTAAAAAAAATTAATACATAAATTCATGCTCCGCGTCGAAAGTTACGGGTTCAGATGAACTGAAGCCGCTACTCTATATCCGCCCCTATGCAGGTATATATTAGATCGGCTTATTTTGAACCCACTTATTATAAGTTCTAGATGGCCTGTTAGTTGTACTCCAAAATGTAGTAATCATCTTCTTTACTGAAGAAGGAAATTTGATCTTGACCTGAACTTGGCCCTTAGCCTCGCCGGCATGGTAGCTGGCTTTCTGAGATTGATCCATGTTGAAACGGCTTAAAAAATAATTAATACTAGTAGCTGTAATTGGAAAGGTAGGAAAAAACAAGAATGTGTGAATTACTATTACAGTGGCAGGTTGTAAAGCAAAGACAATGATGAGTTATATAGGTTGCATGAAGTTCAGACGATAATAATGCCCATTTGATCAGGACAACTTCAATTCTGTCCACTTGACTTAACAGTATAATCTCCGATGAATTAGCCTTTTCTCGTCCGTTTTCCTTGAATTTAACTTTAATTCAATAATAATTAATGTTGTATATGAATTTTTACATTATCGTAGTTGCTTAAAAAATAATTACAAGTCAATAATAAGCGAAATTGGTAACACCACCACCACCACTACCACCAACAACAAACCTAGTGTATTTCCCACATGTAGGGTCTGAGGAGGGCACGTAATGTATACGCATACCTTACCCATCCATGCCTAGCGAAGGTAGAGAGGTTGTTTCCAATAGACCCTCGGTTCATAAAGGTAGGGATGAGGAGGAGAAGAAACAATAGGGAAATACGATAACTGAAACGAACTAAACAACACGACGTAATATAGATATGAGAATAAGAAAGTAGATGCCTGCTACAAATACTAATAGTAAGAAAAGGAAAAACTTTCAACTACCTACTAACCTTCTACCTTAATCCTCGTCCTCCGCACCATACTATCAAGGGTCATGTCCTCAGTAAGCTGAAAAAACACCATGTCCTACCTAATCACTTCTCCCAATTACTTCTTTGGTCTGCCTCGACCTCTTCTCAAACCCGCCTTGGCCAACCTTTCACACCTCCTAACATGAGCATCAATGCTTCTTCTCTTAATATGCTTGAATCATCTCAGCCTCAATTCCCGCATCTTGTCTTCTATGGAGAACACTCCCACTTTGTCCTGAATAACTTCTTTCCGAATCTTATCTCTCCTAGTACATCCACTTATCCATCTCAACATCTTTATTTTTTCTACTTTCATCTTCTGCAGGTGGGAACTCTTTGTTACACCCCGTACTTTCATATTGGAAAGCATCTTAAGTGAATCTATATAAGTCGGAGAGTTTAAGGACCTTTACCAAGATAATGATGAGTTAAAACATGTGTTAAGAAAGTATTGAGAGGGTTGAATGCTGATAAGAGTATCCATCAACATTCGAGGACAAATGTTCTATAGGGGGAATGATGTTACACCCCATGTTTTTGTACTTAAAGGTACGTCGTAAGTAAACTGATATAAGCAAGGAAATGAGATCATCTTTGAAAGTATATAAACTAAGTTAATCATGTTACCTTGTAGGTTACAAATATTTAAGATCATGAACAACAAGTACCAAGAGGGTTGGAAGGTTTAGAAGCTAAACGAATTGAAGAAAATAATTTTCGCCGAAAGTCGACAAGTTGGGAATGTTATAGCCCGTACCTTTGGGGTAATACTAGGGTTCTTAACATGATAAGAAGTTTATGTTATGAGTTATTTTAGTCGTATGATAATCGTGTGTTAAGTTTTGAAGTCAAGCGAGTTGTGCAACAAAAGTCGATGAAAGTCCAAGTTACGTTCATAAGTTTTACTGAAATTTGAGTCTAATGTCACTGAGCTTTTCTCCTTATGTACTTGGAGTTAAGGGGTGATCCATACACCAAATTGAAGGACCACAAGTATAATTTTTAACACACTAAACCGTTTGTCGATAGAATGAATAGGGAGATATTTATATTTTCGCGAGACTGCATAGGTGACAAGTAGGTGGGGCTAGTTGGGGTCGGCCAAAGGGCTATTTTAAGGGATGATTTAATTCATATATTCACTCATTATAGAGCCAAAAATTAGAGATAAATCCCAGTAAACTTCTCCAAAAAATTCAACACAAACCCTAAATAATTTTATCTTCTTTTCAAGTTCTAGTTGGAGGAAAACCTATGAGTTAAAGAACCAAGCTGGGAGCTAAGATACTCACTGAGTAAGGTATGTATACTGTCCTCTTTAATCCCTATTTTTTGCTTTAAAGGTAGAGAAATTCGTTCTATAATAGTAAGAACTCACGGGACGGTGATCGGAAGTCGTGAGTTCTAGTTGTTCAACTTGTAGTGGACTGTTTTGTGGGGTGTTTCGTGTTGCTATTGGGTTGACTATTTTGCTAATATTTTTATGGAGTTTCGGAGGAGAAATAGTGTGGAGAAACACCACACAATGGTGGGGTGGTGGGCTGGTCGTGCGTCATAACATTTTCGGATTGTTTGACACTACTTAGGTTATCATTTTGTGTATGAAGTGACTGGGGGGTGTTGGGCTATTTTGTGGTATTTTGTGAGGGATATAAGGTTGGAAAATGATTTATATATGTTTTTATTGCTGTATTCTTGTATTTTTGGTGTTATCTCGAATTGGGAGGAAGTAAAGATTATAGGGGAGATGCTATCCGTTTTAATATAAAATAAGCTTGTCGTTTGTTGTGCGATAGTTGTACCTTTCATAACTTAATGATAGTATTATTATAATAATTGTAGATTAAGGTGTAATGAGACGAGTTCAATGTAGTTATTAGACAAATTGTGATAAGGTATGTTAAGGCTAAACATTTCCTTCATTATATATATATATATATATATATATATATATATATATATATATATATATATATA